AAATTTTGACCTTGAAGAGAATCCGATACTAGTATAAGGAAAATTTGTACAGAGATATTGGGCAAAAAAGTTAACCATGTGTAATGGATTTCTATCATTTAGCCATAAAAACACTAAATCCACATCCACTATGGATGTTTTCCAAATGCGAGGAAGCAACAAGTGTCCAGATTGCACATCTCTGATTCTACATCAGTAACTATTTGAACAGAATTCATCAACAAATAATGGTTTGAATTAAACAAGTCATTAATCTTCACATAGTCTACAACAATTAGCCATATCCCCAGGTGATTAAAGCAATCTCTTATTTGTTACCAATTAATAACACCTTTTAAAAGTGGTTGAAAACAAAAAAAGCATCTAGTGCGGTACTACCTGAGGCATCTGCCATGCTCCCGGAACATTCAATCTTGATCCAACGAAAACCTGCAATAAAATCCAGACAGTTACAATACAATTTCTTCCCGCAAATATGTACACTTTTTCAAGGAAAAGGGTCTTAAATTGGACTCTGTTATTCACAAAACCGATTTGAATCTACTGGGTTTTGTCAGAGTTAGCATAACTTAGTGACAGCAACAAAATTGGATCACAATCTAAATCCATAATTAACGAGACCCTACCAAATACAGAAAGATGACAAAGCAAAGAAGAGAACAAGTGAGTTTTTTTATATGATAAATTTAGAGGAGAGATGGATGGAGAAGATGGTGGGTGAACGTGAATACCAGGTTATCAGAGTTAATGAGGCAAACGCCAACGTTGGGTCGGTAACCAGAGGGCAGATCCTCCATTGCTCAATTTGCTCTGCTTCTTTCTTCTCTGCTGCTCAGAGTTTGAGACCCAGAAAAGCTCTCCCGTTGGATCGATGACTCTCTCAGAAAATCACAACACAATAATAATAAGTGTAAAACTAAGAAATAAAGTGGGCTTTGTGGGAATTGGTGACGCTGACCATGACAAAAGGGTGACTCAGAGCATAGAGTTTCCCACTCTTATCCTGCGCACCCTTCCACCCAGGTTTCCTTCCATTCCAATCAATCAAGTGACACTCTTCCTTCCAGGTAGACGCCACGGTATGCTGCGGCTGTCCTCACTTTCCTTGTCATGAGCGCCCTTCTAGGATGTGTCATAATTAGACACGTGTCTTTATCAATGCTTGGTGTAAGATTCACCCAAAGAAAATTACAAGGATTTTATGATAAGGAAGCTCGTGGGTGTTTTGATAGTTAAGTTTACAAATTTGTATGAATATGGTCAACCTCCCTAGATTTCAAACAAGTTGACAAGAGATTTAATAGAGATTTCGTCCAAATAAAAATAAAAATAATAAATGGTCTATTCTATTAGGTTGGAAAATAATTGAATTTCAATATTTTTATTTTTCCGAATTTACAATGAATGTTCTCTAGAGCATGGCCTTCCTAAACATAAAAATAGAAAAGTTGAAAGAAAAATGAAAGAAAGAGCCAAGTAGAGTTTATGGTAAGTATATGAGGGCGCCCACGGAGTAGCACGGCCTTTGGAGGAGCGAGAAACTGGCGCGTGATCAGAATGTGATGGTGACGTACAGTTTAAGTCAATAGGCGAACATGCGGATAGAAAAGAGCATCGCTAAAAAGACAAAGCCAACAAAAAGTAGTGGGCGAGGGAGGGGCGTTGACTTTCAGTAGCTCAGAGTCAGGAAGTGCATCTTTCTTTTTAAATATTCATCATCATTACTTTTTAAATTATTATTTTATTACCAACCGAGCTGTAGTCGCCAATCTACATGAAAGCCACTGCACACAGCTCCGCGTCTCCTCCAACGCGCAGTTTTCCCACTTTAAATGGTGTGGTGTGATTGATATTTAAATATAATATTTTTTAATTTTACATTTCTCACAAAAACAAAATAAAACATGACACCTTATCAAATTTGTTTACCAAATAATGTATTAGCATTTTTTCTATACAAATAGTGAGAATGTAGTTGTAAGATTCCACATCAACCAACGGAGAGGGGGTGATGTGCCTTATATGTACATGCCCGCTTCCATCTAGCATGAGGCCTTTTGGGAGCTCACTGGCTTCGGAGTCATGGGAACTCCAAAGTTAAGCGAGTTGGGGGCTAGAGCAATCCCAGAATGGGTGACTCACTGGGAAGTTGCTCGTGAGCTCCCAGAAACAAAACCGTGAGGGCAGAGAGGGGGGCCCCAAAGCGAACAATATCGTGCTACGGCAAAGCCGGTTCCGGGATGTGACAATTTGGTATCAAAGCCACTCTACCGTGTGGTGCGAGTGTGCCGACGAGGACGTCGGGCCCCTAAAGGGGGTGGATTGTAAAATCCCACATCGACCAACGGAGAGGGGGTGATGTGCCTTATATGTACATGCCCGCCTCCATCTAGCACGAGGCCTTGTGGGAGCTCACTGGCTTCGGAGTCATGCGAACTCCAAAGTTAAGCGAGTTAAGGACTAGAGCAATCCCAGGATGGGTGACCCACTGGGAAGTTGCTCGTGAGCTCCCAGAAACAAAACCGTGAGGGCAGAGAGGGGGGCCCAAAGCGGACAATATCATGCTACGGCGGAGCCGGTTCCGGGATGTGACAGTAGTACTATTTTTTATTTATTTAAAATAAGGTAATTGTGAGTATAATAAATATAACGACAGTAGCCAAAAAAGAACGAACGGTCATGTTCTACATTATATTAAGGGTGGTGCCCAAAGTTGGTGCCTCTAGCATTTTCCTCATATTAAATGGGAGCTACTAAATGAAAATGTTTAGAAATTAAACTTTGATGGCTATTGCGCTTATAGGGTCTAGTCTAATGAAAAAATGACATTAACTTGCAGATTAGTAGTCTCATGCTCGAACCCCCATGACATATTAATATTGTTCCTCTTGTAGTATCGCTTGTATTATAATGATAAAAATTATTGATGTTGCACTAGTTGGGTATGCAATTTGAGATTGTAATGGGAAGGTTGTTGAGGCCCAAAAAAATCCAAGGCTTGGCCCAAATATATTTTCGGCCTAATACGACACCTTACCGAGAAGAAACCCTATTTGGGTACACGATAGTTCGTCGTACGTGCTCACACGAGTCATGATCCACATGCCACGCCAAGCAAATATATAACCCGTTACCCCAAAAGTCGTAACAAGCCCATAAAATGTACCGATTCTATGAACCCATGCTTATTATCTCGTCAAATGTCATTTTGGCATGACCATAGCCCTTTATAATGCGATAAAACTCGAGCATGAGCATGCCAAACAACATGCAATGCCAAGCAAAAAACCTTTACTTTGCACATAGCCACGCCACAAGCTTAAGTGAGCCCAAGTCACAAAAATGCTCGAGGCTTGCTGAGTAGGTTGTCGTATGGATGGTTACGAGCATTCACGAGGCCCATTAATGAGCCAAGAAGTGGAAGTTTTGGGCTGTTTGGGAACCCCAAAACTCGAGCCCATTTCTTGAGCCCAAATATGTGGGTAAGCATGAAAGAGAGAAAATTAGCCCATCACCTTAGTAAATTAGCCTATTACCTTAGTAAATTGGCCCATCACCTTAGTAAGTTAACCCATCACCTTAGGAAGTGGCCCAACAACTTAGAAAAATATCTCATGAAGCCTCCAGCACATGGCCAAAGCTAAATCCAAGACAGACCATTTGTAAAACTGAAGGATATTTGTATGTGCAGGCTACTAGGAGTAGAACACTCTTCAGACCAACACCTTTACCCACTTCTTTCCCCCACCAGCTCTTGTCATAAAATAAGGGAGGAAAGAATGAGAGAGTGTTGCTAGAGATAGGAGAGTGCCACAAGCACAGCTGCGAGAAGACTCTAAAGCTCCCAAAAATCTTGTTTCTGTATGTTTGGATTAGGGGGATTTCACAAAATGTGGATAAATCAAAGGAAGAGAAGGGAAATAGAGGAGAAAACTTGATAAATTTGGGGAGAACCAGTTAGGGTTTCTTGGGAAGAAGGAGCTTCCAGCGCCTATAAAATGGGGCATCTCCTACCTAGCAAATAAACACATCCAGAGAGAGAGAGAGCAAACATCCATTCTCACTATTGGAACCCTTCAATTTCGAGCCCTGTTCTTCCATTTCTTCCCCTTTTCTCTTCTGGAAAAACGCTCAAAAGCCTAATGAAGCTTTCGTCAAGCTGCCGGAAATTTGCTAAAACCACCTATTCTTCCACCCTCATCTTTTCCTCTCTTCCCTCAACAAATCCTCTCAAAATTCCCTCTCCCATTACTTTGAACCTTTGTTTCTCATAGGAAATCCAAGTCTTCTCTTTCTAATGCTAAACTCATGAATGCTCAGCTCCCATGCCACAAGCTTCTCAAGCTAAGCCAAAATATTTATCTGTAAGCAACTGTTGGTTTTGTTGGTGAAGGAAACCAAGGTGCTTCCTAAGACTCCACGAACCTTTTGAAGCACTATTGGGGTTTGATTCTTGAACTCAGACACATGGGCAACTCCACCCATTTGCTCTTTATAGCAGCCCAGACCCATCTGTAGCCGCTGGAACAAAAAAGCTCCTACAAAGGTTAAAATGGATGGTTCTTTTCCTTTAGATATTACTTTCATCTTGCAAGTTGAAGCAATGGCTTTAAAATATGGACTCATTTGAGCAAAAATGATTAGGTATTTCTTCTTTGTGTATTAAAGGAGACTCACAAGTTTTAATCAACATTTTAAAATGCAAGACTACTCCTCCTTGGCGAATATCTTCAATTGTCACATATACTTGGTAATTACTCAAGATCTCTATCCTTTAGTATGTTTGGCATATTTATCCAGAAGCTAATATGGATGCAAATGCGTTAGCAAATTTTGAACAATATGTAGATTACTTTTATATTTGGTTTTGTAATTTTCCATCTTCAATTGTTATTAAACTCTTGTATGATGTTGGGAATATTGGCCTCCTAAGAAGAGGAGCTTATTGACAATTTTCTTTTGTTTTTTGTTTAGAACAATATTTTATGGGCCAATTATATCAACTGACCAAAGCTTCAAATTCAGTGGCCCAAATTATTGGAAGGAAACTGGGGACTTTGTGGATTTTCATTTGCCAACCCAATGCGAACAAGAGTCGAAAAAGTTAAAGAAGGCGCATTTCAAGATGAGGAAATGTTTTTTAGGACTGGACTTTCGTCATCTTTTTTGGGTTCTATTGTCTTCTTTGGAAGTGGCATTTGGGCCATTGATTTTAAAACTATATCTTTAAATCTTCAGTTTTTATTTCCATACGTAATTGAGAAATTGTCAAACTTGAACTTGAGGTCGAATTGGTTATCTTCCAGCCAATAAATATACTAGCCCCTACACGTGTGCCAATTTATTTCTCATTTTAGCCTTTCCGTATGTTTTTAGGACTGGACTTTCGTCATCCTTTTTGGGTTCTATTGTCTTCTTTGGAAGTGGCATTTGGGCCACTGATTTTAAAACTATATCTTTAAATCTTCAGTTTTTATTTCCATACGTAATTGAGAAATTGTCAAACTTGAACTTGAGGTCGAATTGGTTATCTTCCAGCCAATAAATATACTGGCCCCTACACGTGTGCCAATTTATTTATTTTTTATTTTAGAATTTAAAAAAATAATAGGTAGTTGTGTTTTATAAAAATAGGATCCATGATTTGATTTTGTTTTAATTTTAATTTTTTTAATATGAAACCTTGTGAATTTATCATATTATCCTCATTTAAATAATAATTTCAATTCTTAATGTTTGCCATTAACTAAGGATATTTTATGGTATTTTGAATGTTTCACTATTCTCTTACTTTGGTTTATGTATATAAACTAACCTCTCCATACGCGCTTCTACGCCTGCGAGAGGCTTTTTTTAAAAAAAAATTTAAATTTATTTTAGAATTAAAAAAGATAATGGGTAGTTGTGTTGCATAAAAATAAGATCCATTATCTGATTTTTCTTTTAATTTTATTTTATTTAATATGAAAAAGTGTGAATTTACCATATTATCCTCATTTAATTAATAATCAATTCTTAATGTTTGTATTAACCAAGGGCATTTTCTGATATTTTGAATGTT